CCTCTAACTTTTCAGCCATAAAAGTGAACTGCAGAAAATAGCTTACTTGATTGACATCTTTACCATCTTGAATGAGTTAAATTTATCACTGCAAGGACCAAATGCAACATGCCTCGATTTGTCTGAAAAGATCTCATCATTCCAAGTGAAACTTCAGCTTTGGAAAAAAATGGATGAAAATAAAATTTGCACGTTGCCTACCTTCTCTGATTTCTTTGAAGAACATGATATTGGACCAGACAAAAGTATTATGATGATAATTACCTTGAAAGAAAACTTGCACAAGCTTGTAGATGAAATTTCATCGTACTTTCCAAATCTACCTGACACCCCATTTGCACTTGCCAGAAGCCCATTGACAATCAAAGTTGAAGATGTTTCTGAGACAGCACAGGAGGAGTTCATTGAACTTATTAACAGCGATGCAGTGAGAACTGATTTCTCTACAATGCCAAGTTACAAAATTCTGGATCAAGTGTTTGCCATCATATCCTGTTCTGTCTGAGACTGTGTTGTGCCGTCTTCTTCCATTTCCAGCAACATATCTTTGTGAAACAGGGTTTGCCAGCTTGTTGGTTATCAAGTCTAAATATAGAAGTAGACTTGTTGTAGAAGATGATCTTCATTGTGCTCTTGCAAAGACTGCCCTGAGAATTTCTGAGTTGGTGAGAAAGAAGCTCTCTCAACCTTTGCACAGACTTGGCTTTTTACATATACGGTCGCAAAATGTAGCAATGTACTTTACTGTTGTTATATTAAGAGTGTTACCCATGATGCACCATGCTTCAAGACAAAATTTCATTTATTTTTATTTAGAAATAAACATTTCATAATATATAATGACATTGTTTTATGATAAATCACTGTTTTAATTATGTTCAATTTGTAACAATGAAAATACATCCTGAATATCAGATATTTGCATTATGATTCATAACAGTAGCAAACTTACAGTCATGAAGTAGCAACGAAAATAATTTTTGGGTGGGGGTCATCACAACTTGAGGAACTGTATGAAAGGGCCGTGGAATTAGGAAGGTTGAATGTGTGTGTTGGGAGGAATCAGAAATGCTTGACTTGCAACTGCATTTTCCAAGTTGGGCTGCTACCCTAAGCACCAGGTGCCACTTGGGAAACAGCTAAGGTTTGGGATCATCTCTGAAGGTGCACCCTGGGGAAAAGATGGGGCTATCTATCTGCTCCATAAAGATCGACAATTTCAGAAAGCCTACATAGGGCTGCTATGAATCGGGCTTGCCTCAATGGCAATGGGTTTTGATTTAGGGGTAGCTTCTGTTGGCCACACTGACCTCCTTGTGTCATCTGTCCTGCTGGGGAGCCAACCCAGGTACCATTTGGAACACAACCTGGAGTTTGGGAAAGTTTCTCGTGCCTGCAGATGTGCTTCATAGCCCATCTCATATCAAGGGGATACTGTGACCCGTCTATAACATGTACAATCTCTGGGTGGCCTTAGACCTTCTCCCCAATGAAGGTGGAAACTTTGTTTTTCAGAATATGTCATGCCTCAGGAATACAATCTCTTGTATTGGAAGGGAGCTTCAAACGTCAAGAAAATTGGCAGTGATCAGTGGAGTTA